GATCACTTGTGTTGTTACCAACATCTGGTGAAAATTTCATGTCATTAGCACCTCTAGTAATATATTTACTGAGAAAAATGGTGACGTGTTCAATACTTATTTTATGCGCTGTGTATATAATTTTTAATATTTTTGGTAAGGGCAGCCTTTAGTTGGAGTTTCTATTTTCGGGATTTGTGTTCTGGGTCATTTTTAGACCTTTTCTTACCTTGGTATCTTTGGCCAGCAGTTCTGTATAAGCATTATAAATCATTCTCAGTTTCTCCACTGTCTGATTCTGGTGGTTTTGTTGTACGCAATATTTGGTGAAGATCCTGTTGCCCAGCTCTTTAGCTAAAATCCTCAGCGATTGCCCGATAGGAGGCAGGTTGAAAACACTCTGGAAAAGAAAGTAGCACAGTACAAAAGGTCCCAAAAATTACAACCATGTGAAGCAGAAAATTCAAGTTCGATGTTCACGTGTGGTTCAGTCTACTAAAAAAGAAAATCAAGTTTTTTTTTTTAAAAAATAACATTATGGTGATACCATTATTAAAGATAACATCCTCCTACCATGTGCACTTTTCCACACTGAGAGTTGCTTTGTGATTTTATTTAATATTTTTAGCAGCAACTGTTTAGTGTTTTTTTCCCAGATTGGTTCAGTTAAAATATACAAATACACTGAGAAAATAAAGACAGCAATGTAACAAAAAAAACTTTTTTTTTCGTTAGATTATTTTGTTATCAATCAATACAGTTTAATTAAAAAAACAAAGTCTGTGTGACATCCTGGACTTTTGGCATTTTGTTGAGTGGTATGTTGGGCAAGCTGCCTGTCTTACCTGTATCATAAAGTCAACATACTCCCTATCCTCCAGCAGACAGAGATAGGGATAAATTTTACACCTGCTGTCGTTGGTGTTGATGCTGGCCAGGATCGTCTTGCTCTCCTTCAGAGCCTGGAGGAGGACCTTGTGCCACTGTTCCTGCTGCTTTGCCAGCAGTTTCCTCTGAAAGACAAAAAACTGGAAAGTCATCTATCTGAAACCGCTAAAATAAAACAAACAGTCCCAAGGCCATCACTGCACTGTGATCCAAACTGCGGGCTGTCCAAATTATGAAGCAAAAAATATATCCTGTCCACTCTACAGGAAATGAGTCATTGTATAAAATGGCTGTGATGGACAGACAAAGTACTTTCTTCAGAGAAATAGGTTTGGGCAAAATAATATTGTGTAAAATTTATCGCCAGGAAAAACTGTCAACAAATAATATTTGTCACTTTGCAATTACTGCAATTAGTGGCATGTGATGATGCATTTTTTATGTGCAACACACTCTCATTATCAATCAGACATGTGAGTTTATAAAGATTTGGTGCCACTTAACATTGGGGAAAAGGTGGGTTTCAATTCACACCTTATTATTTTAACCTGTTAAAATTAAGAYTTTAGTTTGATGATTTGTAAGTATAATTTTAGAACACAGGATGACTGATTCAGAGTCATAAACACGCAAGTACAATTGTCATCTTTTAGTTGTCATATTGCCAACATGACAAAACCCTACTGAGATATTAAAATTAAAATAGAGAATTTTTTCAGTCTGTCCATATCTAGATCAGAAAACATAAAGTTTATCAATGACTAGTTGTGATCACATTCTAGCTGAAAATAAAGTGGCCTAGAATCAGCAGCAACAAWAAGAACCGTTGGACTAGAGTTATACGTAGTTTTTTCGCTCGCATGGGTTATCTACGCAAAAAAAAGATTATTCCAACATTTCTCCTTTAGTAATTTAACTCACCATACAGAGGCAGTTCAGCACCACATAAATAACAGAAAGGTGTACTCCATTAAAAAATCTCACACTTAACATGGAAACACCCATTGTGCTTTCTCACTGTCTATGCTGATAATTCAAAGATGTAGCTGCAAATCAATTACGCACAATATTAACAGTGTTTGTTGAGCTTATTTTTTGAGTATTTTTCAAAAGCAAAAACCAGAACTCATCCAAAAGAATAGTTTATCTTGCTGTTAAAGGGATCCACGATTAGTTGTAACTAGGGGTGTCCCGATACCGATACCAGTATCGGTATCGGATCCGATACCAGCATCAAGTACTCGTACTCGTACTCGTAAAAGCCGGCCGATACTCTTAACCGATACCGCTTTTGTCCCCTTTTTTGTTCCTCCTGTGCTGCGCTGCAGCACAAAGGGTAAACAACAATCCATACCAGGCGGGGGCGCTAACGCACTGACAAGTTATTTCTGACCGCACCCCCGAATAACAGAAGAAGAACGATGACGGTAGAAGAAGAAGTAATGTCGGCAGTTTGGAGATATTTTGCATGGAGGACACCAAACAAGCAGACTGTCTGCT